ACTGTATAGACGCCATACCATTCAATCATTCACAACGCAGAAAAAATATCCGGTGCATGGCGCGATCAGAAGACAGTGGCAGCGGGAATTCTGATGGGGACTCATTTTTCCCCATAGATTGACGTCCGTGCGCCTTCATGTGTTCTTTTGAATGAGGTAAAAGCATGGTGCACAACCACACGCGCCAATCTACGCATCATTTTGCCACCTACTAGAGACGCAGAGGAATGTCAGACAACAGAGTTATTACGCAATCTTGCACAAATGGAAGCAATTCAGGTAATAAGAGAAAATTATGAAACAATTAGTACGAGAATAAGCGGTGCTAACTTGGGGGGGGGGGACCACGCGGCGGCGCGACGCTCTACTTGTCTGCAACTCTGAGGCTTAGTCACAGGGACCGTTACTATTTCGCCGCATCGTGCAGTTTCGAAATACAGTAGCACCGGGACTAAGCCTTGCAGAGGAAGCCGGACAAAGCGCCGCGCCGCCGCGTGGTCCCCTCCAACTAAGTTAGCACTGAGTAGCCAACAAAAAATAAAGATTATAATAAAGAGACGGCATACCGATGAGGTTCCTTCAGATATTCACAGTACATGAAATGAATTGCTCTTGGCGATTCAGGGCATGTACGGTGCGGATGTTTTCCACAGCTTGAGATGCGACCTTACCGGCTTCCTCCAGAAGTTCTGTGTCCCGCATCTTTTTACCGTAACTAAAGAATAGACAAATTGAGTACTAAAAGTGTCCCATAAGTCAAAGCAGACTTCGGAGTAAAGAGTAGGACTCTGGAGGACTCAACTGTCGATCAAACTGACTCTACCCACCTGCATTTGCATTTCGAAGTATCCACTGCCAATAATTAGTGGCACCATGACAATGAGAATCAAAGCCAACTGCCATCCGAAAACGAACCCAATGACCAACGCTCCAACAATGGTCACTGCTGATGAGATCACGCCCGGAAGACGAGTGAATACCTTGAAAGTTAATAATATTTTTGGGGATTCAACTGATACAATCCGAGAACAGCAAAGAAATGTTCCGCTTAAACTCCGTTCAGGACAGCAATTCATGGCAATGACCACGAATATTGACGTCCATTTTGACGCTGGCGCTATCTTGCGTCAATTTGACGCAACAACATTTTTCAAGCGTTTGGAACCCATCCTACTACAAATATAATAGCTCGTATCCGATTATTGGAGGCGGAGGTGGTGTAATGGCAAGTGGCTTCACCTCCTGCGTGCACAATCCGGGGACCACCTCTCGAATCGGATGTTGTCCAGGCCAATCAAGCTTCCATCTCTCCAGAGTCAGTCAAATAGTAGATTTGTCTGGGGGAATACAAACACCACGTACTTCAGCTGGTCTATCAGGTCATTGTCTAGGTACACCGCATTCAAATGTTTCAACCAATTGAGGCGGAAGTAGAATGCGTGGCGCAACCCAGATATTGATCGACGTCTAAAGTTTTTCCTTTACCATATCTGTTTGAATGTTAACTGCTGTACTTGGCCGAGGTTGGCAATGCGAAAGTGTCCCGGGCAAAGAATAACTTTCATGGACTAGTTTTCGTCAAAAACAATTCCTTTCATATTTGGGGGTAGGAAGGGGGAGGGAAGGGGCGGAGAATGACTCAATTTCGACGGGTGAAATAGTTCCCTGGAGAAGCGCGCAAAAATCAGTAAAATACTGAAAATGCTCAAATATGCAGTGACCTGTAAGGGAGGGCAGTATCTCTGAACAAATTCAAATTTTTCGATACAACTGGGCGTAGCCGTGTTCCCTTGGCACTGGCGACCTGGCTACGACTGCCCAAGTCACCAAAAAATCAATATTGCTTACATATCGGACATTCGGTGCATCTGTCGCGAAACGCGTGCAAAGTTTGCCGGTCCCGTGTCGAATGTCGTCGTAGAATCCCACATCTTGTCGGAGAAGATTCTTGAACGCCTCGAAACGTAATTTTTTCGTCAACGCTTCGCCACAACGACCCAAACAGATTGCCTATAAATAAATAGATAATAAATAAATAAGTGTAAATAACCTTTGAATTCAACAGCTAACTGCTCTGTCAGCGTTTCCCACGGTGGGAAAATAAAGACCATAAAGAGTAAGTTCAAGGGGCGGAGGCATTTTTTAGAGAAAGAGGGACAGATAATGAGTAAAAAAGAAAAATGCAGTAGAAAAGAGCTAAAAAACACGGGAAATTCGGAGAGTAGTTAAAGCTGAAAGAGAAGCGAAAGAGAGATAGAGGAGAAATGATAGACAACAGAGAGCTAAAGTGGAGGACGAGAGCGCAGAGAAGTGGCAGCGAGGAGAGGCAAGGCGCGAACAAAGCGACGAGAGACCGAGAATCTCAAGAAGGAGAGGTAAGGTGCAACTGGATCTAAATAATGGTATGAAGGAAATATTGGGAGACTGACTTCGAAATGGCAGCAAGGAAGGATGAGAATGAGAGAGAAAAAGAGATGTGGGGAAGCTGCGTGAGGAGATGAGAGAGTGCAGAGAGAGAGAAATACAGTGGAGAGAAAAAGACAAAGAAAAACGAATACTTGGAGAAGAAGAAACAGAGATTGCTCTCAAAGACCAATATAAGGAATGAAAGGAGGGAAGGGATTGCGTACCAATGACCAGTGCAAGAGCGATCCAATTTTGAAGGGAACGGCAAAATATCAATCTGCTAATCGATAAAATCGATCAAAACAAGCCTCTTAGGAACTCAGGAGTATCACAGCCTAGCGTTAATTCAATCAATTAATCGATAAAAGAACTGACCGAGAAGAAGAACGCAGACGCATGTACGATACCAATAACAATGAATGCACCACACCAGAACATCACATCGCTTTTCATCTGATCCACAGGTTCCGAGTATACCTGAACCAAGTCCGTTAAAAAACCATTCAACATCCGAAATCCCAAAAAATCGATACCTAATGGAAAATCAATAACAGCTAGGAGGCGTACCTGTATGATCTGTGCGTACAAAACAGCAAATACCGGTGTGACAGTACCAGTAACGATACAAGCGATGAGTCCCAAGCGAAAAATCCCCATTTGTCTCTGTTGAAAGTAGAACAGTTTTGACATCGGGGTCGGTTTGGCACGGAGATCCTAGAAATTGACAGGATTTTGCACAAAATATGACACCTTACGCATAGTCGTAAGTGACGTTCGTACTTTCGCAGTTAGTCGGGAATGCACAGAATCTTTGAGACCTGATTCACTTCCTCAGGTAAGTTATAAGATGTGAGCTGTTGTTAACCAGAACATCTTCTACATAATGAGCCAATAATGCGCCTATAAGCGAACAGGCTCTGGCACGCGCGGTTGCGCTGCGTATACCCGACGACCGCGTTGCGACCGCGCGCCTTAGTAACAGATATTGCCGGCTAAAATACCTGCTATCGGCCAAAAAATCTCCGCTTATCACCACTAGATAGCCGTATTTTCTTATCCCGTTAATTGAAATTCGTCAAACGTCTAAGCAGGCTATAGAGCTCACAGGGACGAACCATCATGTCTCGTGATTCAATACATACAATATGCACTTGGCAGTGAGTTAAAATATTTGCTGACGTTAAAAGGCATAGGTCCTCGATATAAACGCGTGGGTTATTGCTCCCTTGATCACCGACGTTGCTGTCAGATAGTAACGCATGAAGAACAAACTAAGCTAACCCTGTGTACTTGTCATAGGAAGTGGGTTTGCTCTGCGTATCACGATGGCCTGTCCTTTGCAGTATTCTACTTTTCGCCGTATCAAAATGAGAAGCTATGTAAACAACGAGATGAAGAGAGGTGAGGGCAAACTTGCCGACATGATCGGTGAGACATGATTAAAGTAATTGTCTAAAGGGGACTTGGCGATTAGAAGGCAGCCCATTAAAATCAAGGTAGACTGTTCAGTGATGCGCTGGGATGGAAAAAATCGTGGAAAACTGCTCAGAACATGGGAATTGTCCTGTTCCTTGCCACTGTTCTGTCTGAAGCGACTATCATGAGTGTGCCCTTTTCAAGTAGACGCTTTCTCGGCTAAACGGCTAAGGTACCGACAGGCGAGGCTTCGTCGCGAGACAAGATGGCGCATAGCGGACGAGTCACGACGTCGTGTTGTGCGATACAGGGGCACCCCCCAGGAGGCCCGTCGCGCGGCAAGAAGGCAGAGTCGGCGGACGAGTTGCAGCGCGTGGTGTGCGATGTAGGATGTGCAGTGGGACACTATTTTCTTGACGCGAAATCCCTATAGTACGCGGCGACTCGTCTGCTGACTTTGCCTTCTTGCCGCGACGGCCTCTCCTGGGGGGTACCCGCGATACGAGCGTACAACGGTACATTATATTTGAGCTGACGCGCAATCATTACGCGCTGTAACTCGTCCGATTACTGCTTGCGTTACTTGCCGCGCGACGGGCTTCCAGTTGGAAACCCAACGGCCAGAGATCTGCGGCACGTGGTTGACCAGTCCGTGGGAATATCGCGCTGGTAACGCCACGAGGAGGACTATACTAGGTCGCCAGGAGCATATCCTTTTTCAGGGAATGGCGTGTTGATCCCTACGATTTTCGACCTCATTGTGCAATCCTCCTGTGGGCACCTATGTGAGGTTTTCTTTAAGCGCGCGTTGCAAGCGAAGTGAGCCATGAATTGGGAGTGGTATTTGGGAAGCGACCTTTTTCGTAATGAGAACGAATTCATTTACCGCACGAAAAGCTACCGTATCCATGAACAAGACACCATCTGCACAAGAGCGTACATTGTACAAAGTGGCAGGAGGTACCTCACCTCCATGTCAAGCTGCATACTCCGAACGCTGGTGACGATAGAGACTGCACTTCTTGTGGATGCTTTCCGTGACCGCAGTGTGTCGAAGCGACTCAAGCTGAGGTCTGGAGACAGAACATCCGACTCGGCATCACTATCTGAAAAGATCAATAATCACGGATATAATGTTGAGGTCTTATTCCCTCTAGCATGCACCATGCACATGAATTCAATTCAAAAATGGCAGGCACGATTGAATGCATGGAAAGGGTCATGCAACGGCTTGCAGATGCAGATGCAGATCTGCCTGACAAATCATAACCTTATTTGAGCCCTACATTACTTTACCGACCCGACGGGCTGGAAGGCTTGGTTCGTTCTTCGCTAGGAATCGAAATAGTAACCTTGGGCACACGACTAGGCGTTTCTTGGCTATTCTCAGCGAGTGCTTTATTTTCTGAAATATCCTAGTTTTACCTAGGATCTGAAATAACATAGAGTAAGGAAAAAAATTACCCTAAAATCAGACAAATGAATATTCTCAGGTTCAAATATCCAACTAGGCCTCAAAGTCCTACCAATATGTATTTTTTTATTATTTATCTGCTCATTTATTTATTTATTCATTTACTTGTTTATTTATTTGTTTGCCTATTTATTTATTTATTTACTTATTTACATACTTCTTAATTTATTTTATTTGATGACTGCATGAAGCAGACATGAGAAAACATTCACCGCTGTTTGGATTGGAACCTTTCTCTTCCAAATACCACTAATTCACAGATTATTTCAACCATAATGACACATGTGAAATCGCAACCCTTGGATGCGTGCGGTTGCGCGCGGCTATTGGCAAGACCACACCTGGCCACAGCCATGCCGCATCCAGCAGTAATTCACACAACTTACGGAATATCTGATGTTCTCACCTCAAGGCATTCTGAACACATTTTTCGGCTAAAAGCCACTTTTTCCATGGAAATCACAAAAAATTAAATTAGCAAACCAACCTGGGACCTCTTCCTCCTTCTCTTGTCTAAGGACCTGAGCCTGTGTCATTTCAAAGAACGCTCCTTTTTTGTTCATCAGTTCAGCATGCGTGCCTTGCTCAACAATCTCTCCATTCTGGAAATCGATAAATCACTTCAATTCGTGCAGCACTTGTTCGTGCAACGTGAATGTCGCTTGTGCATAACTGGTTACTCACCTTGAAAACGAAGATCTGGTCCACATTTCTGATTGTAGACAAACGATGGGCAACGATGACTGTCGTTCGACCCTTTTGAGCCTGAGAAGAGTTGTTTTCAGGAGAGATTTGCAGTATGAACCTCACGTCACATTGGGTAACGTGCGCATTGATGCAGGAACAGGCGCGAATCAATCAATAAGTACTTTCTCCAAAGCTTCCTGAACAATAGACTCCGCCTCGGTGTCCAGGGCACTAGTGGCCTCATCGAGCAGAAGTATACGCGGGTTTTTAATGATTGCACGAGCAATGGCTGTAATATGAACAATCACTTACATAAGTAAAACTTATTTGTTCTTATTTGTTTCAACTGTTTCGCGCCTTGAACTAATTTTTTGCCTCTTGTTTCTGTTTTTACTACTCTTATCGAGAATATGTATACGAAATTAGCACTAAATATACGCGCGTAAAATCAATACCTATTCTAAAGCGTTGGCCTTGATGTATGGAGTCGAAAAAATAAGTTATGAAACTGTAAACGTGATGCCCTACTCTTTATAACTTTTATAAATGTAATTGGAAAAACCCAATCAGCAACATGTTGTGCTGAAAACGGGAATATTCTCTCGAATAAGCTTTTTTATTAACCAAATCTTACCTACCAATTCGCTGTTTTTGTCCACCGCTTAGTTGTACACCACGCTCTCCAACGCGAGTACCGTATCCGTCCGGAAGTCGTTTGATAAAATCGGCTGCATTTGCCTGAACTTAAGAAATGATATGTAATCCCGCGCATTCAGTGCGAATAAAGATGTGCTTGTAGAGTGTTCAGAAGGATAAGGTCTATTCTAACCGATGGCGCGGGGGAAGGGGGGGGGGGTCCCGGTTTGGTAACTAGTATAAGGGCACGCACCCCCAATTCGTGTAGGAGACATCTGTAGTCACATGTGCTCTGTTAGAACTTTGTTTCTACACATTTCATACGATTCGTCGTGACCTTCGCTACGATTACATCGTGTTAATGGTATTGCTCATAAGATAATGTGCTCCATTCACGTTTTTACAACTCTGTCGATGTAGATGCCGCTTTCCCACGATATGAATGGAAGAGGATCTGGAGCGAGGGAAGCCGCTCTACGTTTCTAGCATAATTCCGTGCCACGCGCTTCCCTCAGTCGACGTCCTGCAGTCTCGCTGAGCAGTCGCCTGCTCCGAGTCGATCATTCTCAGTCAGACAACTTCGTCTGCGGACCGGGCACACACCTACTACACTCCATGGCTGCTGCTCCTACCGTCTGAGCCCGAAAGTTCCTCTCTTCCGGTCCATCCTTCCAGTTCCCTCTATCGTGGTTCTGTATGTTATATTTTCAGTTCTTCCATAGAGTGGCTTAATGACAGTTGTTCTGTTGCGTAGGTAACAGAGGTGTATCCCTCTATAAAAATGTGGTGCAGGCAATGTGGCGAAACTCTTGTTCGAGGGGGGGAGGGGCACGCGATTGCGCGG